CATATAAATATATATATATATATATATATATATATATATGTTTACATATAATAAATATCTCGCTAATACTCAAATAAATACTTATTAAAATTTGGTACATTTTTCTTCAGTGTAATTGTATTATATCCTAGATAAAAAAACGTTATATTATTTCTTGTGAGTAAAATGTTCTCTTATCTATGGCTTTATCATTTTTGTACTGTACTCATATCCGTTATTTTTTATACTCGCCACAGATCGTAAAATGTTATCGCAAATTCTTATAAAAACGACATTTTCGCTGCTAGACACGAGAACGTCGTCAATGTAGAGGCACGATGCCACTTTCGGCATATTTTATACTTCACAGAAGAAGCACAGGGATGTGAACGACTTCATATAATATCAGGGTAAAAACGCTGCTGCATTCCTCGAATTTCAAGCGAAGGACCCATTCTTAAAAGAGAGCATTGTACGATTTTTTTTAGATATGTATCTAAGTACTAGAAAGAGAGGAAGAAAGATCGAAAATGTATATTCCCGACAGCGAATATTTCTCCGTCTTCCTTTTTCCGTTTGTGCAATAATAACTTCCGTTGTGAATACGCAAATTACGAATTATGAATTTATTTAAGAGATTTAAGAGATTAGTATGATTTATATGTAGCAGGAAGCGCTAAGCTGATTTTGATTTGCGAAAGATCTGCTCCGTTGTCTGAGATGCTGACGGAGATCTCGCGTGACAAATTGCGAGTCCTTGTTAACGGCCTCTCGAATTCTTCTGATTTGTATAGCATAGGTAGCGATAATAGTCTAGTTTACTGCGTCTTTTAGCGTATCATTTTTATTGATGTATAACGATCTTGTTCTGTTTACCTTTCACGTGTAACATTTATTACGATAATACACAAGTGATAAATAAAACAGGTGCTAAATCTATCTAGTAAGGGAGGAGTGGGTAGGATGAAATCAAGAGAAGATCTCTTGATGCGAGAAGCGCGGCCTTTCTTCTTCTTCGCGTAGTGTATGTACATATTCCTCTTAGGAACTTACACATTAGAGCATCACTCTTTACACAATCTATCATGCATTCGGCATACATAAATCCCCGGTATCCGGCTGTTATTGAGGAGTATTCGTAAGGATTAAATTTCCTCTGACATAACAATCGTACAGGAGATCCAGACGACATGCACGGAGGTGTGCGAGAGCTGCGAGAAAAAGGTCTACCCCTTGGAGAAGGTCGAGACAAATAACAAAATCTTCCATAAGCAATGCTTCCGGTGTCTGCAGTGCAATTGCATTTTAAGGTAATGGAAAAAGACGTGTAAACTTCTGTTTATATCAGGTCTTATCAAATATTATATCCCTAGCAAACAAAAATGGATTAAAATGGAAATCAGAGTTTTAGAAATACATATTCATGAATGTTAAAATAAATTCTTTTCAATCTTGAATGCATTTTTTTTCATTTATAGGAATGGCATGGAGTATATTTCTATGTTTTTCAAAAATAATATTATAGTATTTTATGTGCATCGTGAATACTACTCAATTCAATATTCTGAATAGGAAATGCAGTTTTTCAATCCATTTGAATCTAAAAATAATATCAGTCAATTCTGTGCATTGTGAATACTGCTCAATTCAATATTCTGAATAGGAAATGCAGTTTTTCAATCCAGTTGAATCTAGAAATAATATTAGTCAATTCTGTGCATTGTGAATACTGCTCAATTCAATATTCTCAATGTGAAGTGCAGTTTTTCAATCTAATTGAATAAAGAAAGTTTTTATTTAAAAATATAGACTATAAATGCTACTTAAATTATTCAAAATTATAAGTAGGAAATTTTTCGTTTTTAATCCAACTATAATAAGTTCAAAAAAGTTATAACGTAAAAATAATTGAGCTATATTTTTTTGTTTCTCTTTAATTAGAAGTAAAATGAATGATCGATGTGAACACTCGCAAATCAAGTCGAACACAGTCTTAATATTACGCTGATCACGGTGCGCGACATCGTTCAAGCGAGATTAGATTATCCGACATTTACCCAATGTTGTTATTTTTTATTTATTACCTTATTGTAATGTAAATTGTTTATATTTTATTATCCGATAAATGATGATGTTTTTATTATATCTATATAATTTCGTGCACTGATTTAGCTGGTTGTAATTGAAGTAAAAAATGAATAACATGTTTAGTAATTGAAGAAGTGATGTAACGGGTAACGTAGAAGATTCATAATTTAGAGATTCCAGGATTCAAATCTCATTAAAGTGCGTTATTTTTTAATACTAATTTAAAGTAATTATTATCAGGTATAATTATTATAAATGTTTTAGGAATAAAATTTGTAACTCTTAAATGAATTTTTTTTTTTCGAATATTAAACTAATGTCAGCTCGGATCTAATCTATTTCAATCCATTCAATCTATTTTCATGGATTTAAAGTATGCATTAAAAAAATTTTAATCTATTTTAATTCATTTTCGTTTACTGGGTGTAGATAAAATTGTAATATATCCTGTACTAAACATATTTCGCTTAAAGAAAATGAAGAGTTTACAAAAGTGTCAAGAAATGCAGTGTCAGTTATCGAAAACGTTTTGATAATTAACATGATATAAATGTATGTATAAATATGGAAATACTTTTTGTCTGTGGCAGTAATAATATTTTAATTATATTATAATATAATATGTACATACACAAATATTGTAACATGCGTTATAATCGATTTTGGTTTCCTTTCTCTATTTTAAATTTTTATTCTTAAATACAGTTACGAAATTATTGTTAAGTATAGTTATATTATTAATGTGTTCAAACAGGATGGACTCCTTCACTCTGAATAACGGCAAGCTGTACTGTATCCCGCACTTCAAGCAACTCTTTATTACACGGGGAAACTATGACGAGGGCTTCGGTGTTGACCCGCACAAGAATAAATGGGCGACAACGAACTCCAGCAATTCCACGAGCCCATCGCCAATCGCGGTCTCGAACGGCGATCTCTGATTTTCCAAGTCTTCCACCTCAATTCTTTCCTGGCTATAAATTGCTATTGAATTTTAGTCGAATTTTAGGTGGATCTAGATAAAGATTTGAAGAGGGAATAGTCCCTCTCGAAAATACATTTTAGGATGTATGTCAATCATCACGGAAGAGATATAATATCTTTTACAATTTTGCCCTCGTGAATGGTAAATTAGATCCACCTATGGTCAAAACGCGATGATGATTATGATAAATTGTACATTTTATTACGTTATTATCGCTTACATATGAGAACGCGTAATTGTATATTTAACGGTAATTGGAATGAATCGCGATGATCGGAGACTCGCTCCGAGAAAATGGTCTCTATATGCGAAAATCTTTTCGAAGTGTAAATCTTGCCAAATGTTGAACAAATGAATCGAAAGGAATGCACACATATTTTCTTTACTGTTCGTAAATCGAAAACGTAAATATGATTTAAATTATGTCGAAGAAATAATGAAAAATGCGCGCGATTTTTTCGGTTCGTCAGGTTGCGTTGAATTAAAATGTATTTTAAAGTTCGTAATGAAAGATCAATGAAATATCGAAGAAATTAATTTTGATATAATTACAATGTGCTATAAAGTATCTTCTCAATTTTTAAACTTTATTGTCATCGCTTACCATAAAATTCGCTTGATATTTGTTACTATTATTATTTTATTGATTTTATTATTATTATTATTATATTATAATAATTATTAATATTATTTACGTGCGTCGCATTTGCTATTATTTTATTATATATGTTGTATAATACAATATTACATTACGCTTCGTAAATCTTGTATCCGAACCTGTCCCTCAATAAATAAGAATTTTATACATCTATATTTATTATAATCTCCGTAATATAAATCTACATCTAGACCAAAAAATATGATTTATATGTAGATAAAACAAAAATTTTAAAACATATTTATATTGATAGAACGTTATCGTTATTATAAAAAATATTTTAGAATAATTAGTTTCATATTTTTAGTTTTATTATCGCTTTACAATATCTGCGTCAAAAGTGAGTGGCAGTTTGCAGTCAACAAATATGATATCGTTATCATTACGCAATATATCACGAAAGTAAAATACAGATGGCGAGACTCGCGCGTAAGAGGCGTCAGGCGGTAGCCATATTTATATAGTGCTGCAGCTATCCGTTGATGCAGCTCTTTCACACAAGTTTAAAATACCTTTTTGCAACGAACTCTTATCAAAATAAATATATATGTATGTAATTTTGTCTTTAATAATGCAAATTTATCAATTAAAAATAACTACTATTGAATAGAAATAATATAATTGGAATACAGTTATATAATGCAAGCTAATCGAATCTATTTGAAGCTGTAATTATTAATGGAGGAACTACAAATCAAGCAGAAGGTAAGTCAACAATTTTTTATTTGTTTCAATCAGTATGTTATAAAAACAAGAATATTATTCTGAGAATAATTTTTATTTCCTTCAGTCGATAATATATGTATTTATAAATTTCTTTGTACACTGTTTTGTCAGCATATGATGAAATTTCTACGATGTCGTATGGTATACACTTTTTGTATATCTGTTAGTAGTAGTCCGCGTGTAATATTATATTTTTTCTTTATAATGCGCTGTATGTACATTATATAAATATACTAGAACATTATATTATGATATTAGATTAGATTAAAGTTTGTTTTTATTATATTTTTTTTTCTCATTTAATTAATAATTTTTTATTCACAATAAAAAGTAAAAAAAGAGAGAAAAAAAATATTTTTATTAAACATTAAATTATTTTTATTATTGTTAAGAACAATTAAAAATACAAAAAAATATAATTAGAAAATATTCGTGAATCAGTATAATTTTGCTTTAAGTAAATCAGTTTTTTTTCTATTTTTTTTAAATACATAATTTGTCATAAAGCTAATTATTAATTTTTTAATAATTTAGAAATCCAAGCAGCACAACAAATCACAATAACATTGAAATGAATCAGAGATGATTGAAAAATGATTTTTAATGACCATTTCAGAGTCATTTTGATATTACTATGACTTGTTGTTCTAGTTGGGAAATTCGTAACTATATTTTTTAAAAATGCAGACGCATCAATACGTATTAAAAAATAAATCACCACCTAATTAATCAATTATTTTATTTTATAGATGGAGATCTGCATCGATTCTTTAGAGTCCGCTAGAAACGCGATAGCAGGTGGTGCTAGCCGATTGGAAGTTTGTTCTGCTCTCTCGGAGGGTGGTTTAACACCTAATCTAGGTTTAGTTCAACAAATTAAAAATTTCACGACGATTCCGCTGTATGTTATGATCCGCATTCGCTGCGGTGATTTCATCTACAGTCCCGAAGAGATCGATGCCATGCTGTATGATTTGAAAATTCTTAAGGATCATCACGTAGATGGATTTGTCTTTGGTGCCTTGACTCCCGATTGCGAGATTGATATTGTTACATGCGAAAAGATTATTTCCGCAGCTTGTCCCTTGCCGGTGACATTCAGTCGCGCTTTTGATCTGACGAATGATCCTATCAAATCGATGGAACTCCTTACTGATCTTGGTTTTAAGAGAATTCTAACTTCGGGACAGAAAAATACTGCTCTGGAAGGATTAGAATTGATAAAAACGTTAGTACAAAAAGCCCAGAAACTAGTGATTATGCCCGGAGCTGGCATCACAAAGGATAACATTCGTAAAATAATGGAATCCGGTGCCAAAGAATTTCATGCATCAGCGAAAAAAAGAAAAATGGTAGTCTATGGAGCGAACAGAGTTAAGATGGGTATCAATAACGATGATTCCGTTAATGTGACTGATAAGAAACTGGTGAAAGAATTAGTCGAGATCATTAAAAATGAAAATACACTACATAATTAAACTTAAAGATATCTAATTATTATCAAATACTTTTATGTAATTAATATCTAAATAATATATTTAAGAGTAATTTGATTATTTTAAGTTAACTGATACATTATTATTGTAACTTTTGTATTATCTGCACTAATAAATTACATTTTAAACATAAATAAGAAAATCATTCAAGACTATAGGACCAATCGCAAATTGTTTTTAAAGCGAAAATACATTTAATTATATTAAAATTCAAAGAACGTTTTGACTCTAAATTTGAGTTATCCTCAGTTTAAGATAATGACAATTATATAATATCACATATTACAAAAACGTAAACATTGTCGCAATTTTGTGATGGTATGTCAAATGTGACTCTTCTGATAAGGACACGAGTTGTCCAACGTAGTTGCATAGCTAAATTGAGATAAATCTCTAGCTTGCATTTCCGACAGGTCACAGATAATCTTGTACAATATTCCTCGAACCAAGAGTGCAAAATTCGTCACATATTAAAAGTAGAATTTTTTTTGAATAAAATAAAATAAAACGAGCGATGTTTTGTCGAATTGACGTTACAACGCATAATCAATTACATGTTATAAATTACATTTTATATGTGATTGATTGAATAAACTAATGGCGAATTCGATTGGAAGTACTGGTGCGCACTGGTGTAAATTAAAATCGTTGCATTGATTTAATTTGAGTATGAAATGCAAATATTTCGAATTATGAAATACATATTTTACTTAATAGTACAATAAAATATATTGAATATCAAAATTTAATCAATTTCTTTGTTTATTTTATAAACATATTTTTACATTATTTTGTGTACGGCTTTAATGTGCATTCCAGTGCACTGAGTGCGTTTAATTGAATTTGTTGTAACACTTTATCCGGGCGGACAGTACATTAAGATAAATGATCACTTAAGAATATGGGCGTACCGTGGAATTTTTTTTAGGAAAATTTTTTATCAACCCAGAGATGTACCATGCGTCAATTGAAATGAGAACCAAAAAGGGGAGATTTTATAATTGTACTAAAAAGAACGTCTCTGCACTAATTTTGTTTTTGTGCAACATTTACAATAATTTTTTATGTTAATTTTTTTAATCGAATTTTTTAATCGAATTTAGTCGAATGGAATACTCTGGGTGTATTTAGTACCACACAGTACTACTACTCTGAGCAATTCAGCATTCGGTGAGCTTTTGCATTTGATTAATATATTCTGTTAGATCTAAACACATAGATCAAATAAGTATATAGATCAAAAATATAGAGTAAATAGTGCAAAAGCTCACTGAGCGCTTAATAGCGATAGTATTGAATGTATCAATTATAGAATAGTCTGTTTTTCGAGACAAAAATCTTACGAAAATTCTTCTTATATATTGTATATTTTGTCAAAGCTCAAACTAACAGAAGTATTAAAAATTACTTATATGGTCTCATAACGACAAGAAAAAAATAGTTTATATAACAGCAAAAAATTCACACAAAGTCAAAAGTAAAGTTGTATGTTTTTTACATTTAAAAATGAAAGAATTTGACAGAATATATGTTCATCACTAATTGACCAATTAAAAATAAAATATTCTTATTAGTAAAGCAGCGAAAAATTATTATAGCACCGACTGATGTGAGTTATCAGGATGTGTGTTAACGGGATTTTCTCAAAATGAAATAATAAAAAATTTTGAAAAGGTTTGAATCCCTAAACTTCCTCCCTCCCTCTCCCCTCTGAATACGTCCATGCTTATAAGTATCATAAAAGTATCATTTATTTCCAAATACATTTTTTTGATCTTAATTTTGTTGTGTACATTCTAGGAATTGCTCGTCAATAATAATTATTTTAGCAATAAAACTAAATTAATTACAGCTTTTAATTTTCGCACTAGTATGTATAATTTTGTTTAATTGTATATGGATTTATATAAAATATTTTATATATGTAATTTTATGTAATCATATATAATTATTTATATGTGTACAATTATATATAAAAATATTTTTTACCAAGACACTTTCGCGGACATTTTGTCGTGCGGAGATTTCGACGATAGATAATAAAGGGTCCACCATGATATTATCATATCATGGATGTAAAATCGTACTAATTTCTCAATAATATGAAAAATTAGGTTCTTTTATATTTTATACAATTCAATCGTGCCTGAATATCGTATAATGCAAATAAGTTATTTTAAGTAAACAATATTTACTACGTTACATATATATAATCTAAAGAAATAATCTCACAAACAATAAGATTGAATGAGAGAAAAAAGATCATACAAAAATTTATGATCTTTTTTCTCTCATAAAACAACACGAATTTTTGATAACTTAAAATAAATCTTTATATGATACGTCTTTTTTATTTTAATAATTATGTAGGACGCAAAAAATCGTGTTAGTTAAACCTAGAATGTTATTGATATATAAATTTTACGTACAAATGAGCGAAATTATTAAATGCTAAGCTATATTTACAATTACTTCATTAGAAAATCTAATCTACTTTGCTTAAGAAGAGAACCTAGTTTAGAGGGTCAGAATTTTTGATTTTTTTTTAATTTCAATCATTAGTATTATTACTCTCGGAAAATACTGGTAAAGTTTTAGACTGAAATTTGAAATACTTACTGTAGTTACAGCTTGAGGAATAGATGATACGCATCGCTCAGATATACAGCGCGCGTGGCAGAAATGCCTATTGTCCGCTTTTCGATTCCTAGCATAGCATTATTGACCTAGTAGATGTTCATTTTTAAAGAGGGCACAATTCAAACAAGAGTTTTAATTCCACCCCATTCGGTCGCTCGCTTTAAAACACTTATTCTGGCGCAAAGATTATCAAAATCGCCGCCTTCATTGCCGCATGTACTTTCAATGAAAGCTATTCTGGCATTTTAAAGATAATGTAGTTGCTGGAGAAATAAATATTGGCCAACATTGTAAATGTCGCCGACAATTACGACAAGCAGCGAGTTATAAACGGCAGGAACGGTGCTGATTAAATAGTAGAAAAAAATCCATACTGTTCGTAGATTGCAACTAACACGAGTTTATGAAGAAATGGAAGGTTTCTGTATGGGCCTGGAATAGTATAGATTAGCGGTAAGTTGCCAAAAAGCAGTACTTTTCGATACCAAAAACTTTAAACGCGTTCTTTTCAAAATCACTTTTCTGAAATTGACGCGCAAGATTATTCAATATTTGACTAATCGACTTCTTTCACGATTTTTTAGTTATAATTGTCAGCCACTCTAAATGAACTAAAAACATTTATTAAAAAATTAGTATAAACAATTGCATGAATAATGCATGAATGCAGCTGCATGAATAAGTCAAAATTTTTTGTTCGAAGTCGTTACTTTTTGTTCAAAGTTCTTACAATTTGACACTTTTTTCCATTATTTTTTTAGTTTAAGGAAGATAAAATATTATCTAATTAAAAAAATGTTGGGTTTTTTTTAATTTTAGATAAGAATTACAGGCTCTATTATTTATTTATTAAAAAATTCTTTCGTATTGTTTAAATACAGGTATAACAAATCATCTCTAAAATTTCGGAAAAATTGGCTTCATGGTTTGTTCATAAAAATTCTCAAAGAACAAGTACTTTTCAGTGTTCTAAACTAGGTTTAAAGCCAGATTACAAGCAGAAAAACTTTTACAAATTTTGCGTTATGTATCAGTTTCGGATTCTCTCAATATTATAACAGAGTATGATGAATAATTTCAATCTTTAAGCACAATTTTGTGTTATCAATTGCGTTATTACATATTTTCTAATTAAGTGTTATGAAAAGACATTCATACAAACTATTATTTATACTACTTCAAGCGTTAATTCTACATGCATGTAGGATTTTAAAAATGCAATTTAAAAAAAAGTTAATTTATCATCTTTTTAATAAAGATCTTAAATCTATTTTAAATTCTTAATAATTTATGATAATTTATATCATCTCTATTCATATCATCGTAAATAATTACTTACAGAATTATTTTTTAAAAAAATTTGCATTATATTTATTTATTGGCAATTTCTTGGCAAAGTCACGAGCGCTTACACGTGTGTTCGCACTACGTGAACAAAATTGATAAGCGAGATCACGCAGCTTGACTAAGAATAAATGTGGAATAATAAATTGGGGGGATTTATCTATATAGTGTGAAACATCTTCGCGTTTGTTCAAACCGGTCTATTTTGACTCTTTTTTTTTTAACTAATTTTAGCAAATAAGAATTACTTACAACTGCGCTAATGAGCATCGTCAATTAATAATCACTGCTATTAAATAAACATGAATATTCACCGTTTTAACGGACTATGTGGGAAGTGTGTTAAATTTTTAACAACTTGAGCCGAGCGATTATCATAAAGGAAGGAAATTTTTTGAATATATTTTCTTTCTCTTTTATTTATGGAAGGAATTCATGGATAGTAAAAGTTACGCGTAAAGTTAAACGTAAAACGCGGAAGATCACGGGGCACAGGTTTATACTTTTATACATAGTATCGGGTACACTTTCATTTATGATAAATACACTTCTGCGATTTAGAATGTATGTGTATATATGTATAATGTACGCGTACAATGTGAACAGAACACATATACATGCCTACCATTGCGAAGCAGGTTTTATGTATAATACACACGTAAACTTCAACTGGTTATTCTCATGTGTATATATTCGCGACGAGTTTTTCCACTTGCATCGAAGTACTCGATTTCATACACAAAGACGATATTTTATTTTAAAGTATGTCCATTTTTCAATTCTTCCAAATGCTTCTCTTTTTTAGCAACTTTTCAAATAATCACTTATCTGTGAGTTCTTCGTTTCTGTTTAAAATAACCATTTTAAATAAGTAATTTGAAAATAGTGACTCTGTGACAAGCGAAAATATTTACAAAAATATTTAAAGTAAATGTGATTCTTCATTTTAAAAAATATGAATGTCTTATTGACATTTAAATTTTATTTAAATAGTAGTATTTAAATTTAAGATAAAAAAACCACTTTGACATTCGTTATTTTAATTAATGCCAAAAGTTTTTTTATGTAATTCTGCACCGCGACAAAGAACAGCTTGATACGAATTGATCAAAGATCGCAGCTCTTGTTGGCATTATTGCACGTCATGTTAGTAGCTAAATTGCGCATATAATTAAATATACAATTTACTTAGTATTCATGAATAAATTATATATAAAATGAAATGCGTGCAGTATGTCGTAATTACCACAGCGATTATTAATATGTGAATAAAAAGATTCTTATATAATGATTTAATTACAGATCAAGATGCACTTATCTGGATTCGCAAGCATCCTTGGATACATTTTCAACGTCTAATAATAAGAGAATAATAATATTACGATTATTTTAGTGAAAAATTCAGAAATATAAAAATATGGAACGTTTAATGCAAATATGTAGGTAATTTAATCACGTTCTAAGAAATGATATTTGAGATTTTCAAATTATATAACCTTTGATAATTGCAATAAAAACAACTTTATCGCTGATTTATATTCGATTATTATTTACTTTGTAGAAAATTTTTCCAATTTATACACGAATTAGCGACGATGAGAATCTTTATATTACTTTATATACGAAAGCAAGAGAGCGGGATTTGAAGAATCTAAAGAAAAGTTTATAGAATTTGAAAACCGAAGATATTTTTTCATTTACGACAATCCTCATCAAAAACATATTAAAAGACTATATTTCAAGATGGCTAAGTAGAGATTTTTCTCGATTCCGGAAACTCGATCTCCTTCGGAAAGGTCATTTATCCCTTAATGGAATATTTCGTCCCACGGATCTCCTGGATATTAGTGTGTGATGGGTGCATTTACATTTGTGTTCGTTATGTATATATACATAAATTGCCAAGAGCCGGTTTCGGTCTCTCACGTCACGAGGATACAGCTACAGGGCGATGTGGATACACTTTTCCTGCATGTATTCGAGAGTGTTGGAGCGGGCTCGAGCGCCCGCTCGTCCGTAAGTCTGTTGCAACCAGACTCCGTCCCGTCAGTGCGAGAAATACGTTCAAACCGATCGGTCGTATTGTACATCCGTAGTCGCGCTAAGCTTTGAAATCGTTTCTCCACAACGGTGCATAACGTGTAAATTACGCTGAAGGGAATCTGACGAAACGACGCTTTCATCCTTTAAAGGGCATCAAACGGGAGCGAAACGCATCTCTCACGACGATCCGCGAAAAGGTGTGAGAATCGTGAAAATAATGATAAGTTGATCATATCGCGCTTCTCGATTTGTAAAAAGTTGAATTTTCTAATATTAAAAAAAAAAAAAGAAAATAATAAATTCCGCTTTTCTTCAAGTAAAAAGTATTACAATTTTTCTCTCCACTGTTGTAATTAGTTACGAAAATGGTTGATTTTCTTTAGTGGAATAAATGTTAAAGATAATAAAGTATAATAAATCGATGGAATTGAATGTAAATGACGCGGTCAAAGTGAGGCGAACCGTTTAACTTTGAAATCTGGGAAATAGAAGGATTGAGAATACGTGAAATGAACTCGAGAGAAAGTGTATGCGTACGATGTCTGAAATCACGTCCACATGTTCAGTATTACGTACTCAATTTTGCCAATTACTATCAATAAGTTCGTCGAAGGAACGTAGAATACTAAGCAAATTTTGCAACCTCAAGATATATGACGATGATAATTTTTTGACAAGCTTAGTCAACCAATTTTATAGCTGGCACAAAGACAGAGATGTTTCTCGTCGGCATATCACTGTACCGTACATCCGCGATATGTTTTCACGGAGAAACATATGCTAGAAATTAATACCTTTGACTATCTGAGAGCGCTGTCTTCAGTAAGAGTTTCTGATCTCAATTCGAATACATTACATTGCACTTTCCTACTTTCATCGCTAACCGAAAGATATTAATCTCGAGAAGACGTCTTGAAGCGAAAGGAGTAACAGATCTTTTCGAAAAATTGAAGTTACCTACAAATCAAACGGATAATAGCAGATTAATTAAATAATGATAAAATGATAAACAAAATTTCTGTAAATATAAAATGTTCTAAAGTTATAAAAAAAGTTAAAGAAAAAAAATCGTGTATGTAGAACAGACAAAACTTTCAGGATTATATTTGAAGTTTTGAGATTTACAAATAAAGGGAACAAAAAATTATATTATTAAAAGTTGTGTAAAATATGTCGAGTAGTAAAATTAAATAATTAATATTATACTAATCCAATTTCATTTTACATGTGTTGCAGTATCGCAGATTAGATACTTATATTGGATAATTATTGAGTAATGTAAAACCCTGAGGATATAAGATTGTTAATGAGTCAACGACCGAGTAAATACGTTTAGTCGTCTACTAAACGACCTGATTATATAACGTTTTATTTTTGAAAATTCTTTTTTTATTAACTATTTATTAAAAATCTTTGATATTGTCAGTAACATACGAAATCAGTTTTTTTGAAACTGCAATTATCAGGTACTGCATAAAACATGTTCTCATAATAACGTTAGTTATATAAGTTAAAAAAAAAGGTTAAATAACTAACATTATTGTATACGTAACCGAATATTAATAAATTTGAAACTTATATAGGTACGTAATTGAATATTAGTGAATTACTTAACAAATTGCGCCAGGTAATATTATATAATTAATGCTATCTTTTTATGCAGAGAGCAGACTTTACGAAGTGTTTGTTATGTAGGTATATAACATGAAAACTATCAGCCTCGACATTTTCGTATTAGATTTGCTGAAAATATTACAAAGAATCGATCTTTAAAATATTTATCGTCAATTTTGGAACATTCTAAATATATATATATACATATCAAATTTTTTACAATTTAAAAAAAAATATCGAGCGATGGGATGTTTAATAATTTGTTAAAGCGTTGCACTACGGGATCTTTAACTATGCATCATCTTTTCTATATGTTACCTTTTCATAGCAATTTCCACACGATTCTTTTAATAACTGCGTATTAACAGGTTGTTGTCTAATTGTTTGCGAAATCATTCTTACGTATCGTGACGTGTGATGCGAATAATTCATTCGTTCTAGTAGCACATACGATTATAGTTCTCTAATTGTAAACACTGCATTTTCCGCTTATAGGATGTGACAGAAAGCACTCATCCCTCTTTTGCGTCAGTAATTTAAAGAACATCATACGCATCGAGAAATATCTGAAGAATTTACGTTGCGTAAAAAAAATTTTGAATTGAGATCAAAATTATCGCTTGTGTATCTTTAATGTAACAGAAACTAAATTATTATTTCGCGACTCAAATAATTTTGTAAAATAACAATAGGATTTCATAAACCATTATAATTATAATAAAGAGATAAATCTCTATTTTGTCAATTATGAGCGAGTCGATAATGATTGTCACATTCTCGCGCGATTTAATTTCCCGTTTGCTAAGAATACCTATTGTGTCGTGCGGTTTGTGGTAATAGGATTCCATTTCCCGAGATTACACGCTTCTTAACCGCGTACGGACGTTTAACACATCTTCGAACATTAATATACTATATATTAATTAGCCGGACGTAGGATATTCATGAATGTCATACGCTATATAGTCAATCACTGGTCTGAAATTTCGCTTTCATGAAAGTAAGTTATGCTTTGTTGCAAACATTAATAACAAATAGATAAATGTAGCAACATTATTTTATCAACAAATTGTATGCTTGCAATAAATCATTATAGTATATTAGTAGACAATTAAGCAAACTTTTATATGATTAAAACTAAAGAAAGTTCTTCATAAATTATTGTCTAAATTTTTACAGGATGTTTTATCAGATAATATAATAATAAGATAATTGAATACACACACGTTTTATAAAGATAAATAAAATTAATTCTTGGTGAATATATTTAAAATATATTCATATATAGTTTAAAATTGTTTCTGAGCGAAAAATAAATTACAACTTGATCCATACGGCGATTTAACGGCTCTTTGTTTCTTGAAGAAAGATTGACCAAAATCATCAAATGTTTACGCGAGTCTTTTATTTTGAAAGCGACCGGTATTCCCCGGCGCTTTCACAAAAATGTCTGGGACATTTTTCAAGGAGAGGTAAGGTTGGTAATATCTGTCGTGTATACACACGATTCTACCATTCAGGAGAAACGTTGATTCGTCAAGGCAAACGTGGTGCAAAGTCCTACAAAATTCTTGTGACGTTACAAATCTCTATTCGTGTGGTAGGAAATCCCCTCTTTTCTCTCTCTCTCTCTCTGTCTCTTTTCTTCTTTATGACATCCGCTAAGAATATTCCAGCAATATTTACAAGAGATATATATACAATATCTGTTACTTACACGAAAACACATTATTTAAAAATTCCTTTTTTTGATATCTGAAGCATTGCAATGTACTGAGATAAATATAC